AAAAAAAAAAAAAAAAAAAAACTTTCAAAAATTAGATTACTGTTAAACCAGAGTAGCGGTTTAAAAAATGCTTTTATAAAGTATGTCCTAGAACTTGACAAATTTTATAATTAGAAAACTGACTCAAAATTATTGCACAAGGAGAAAGGACAGTTACTGGCTTGATTTTTAAGGGCTTTTTACAAAAACAAGAAACAAGAAAAGATTTCTTCCTTGCCAGGTATCAAGCATTAAAACAATTCTTTTTTCTTCTTTGAAATTAGTTAGAACAGCAGATGAAAGAACAGCCGCATATGAGGTTGAAGCTCCATTGCCTTTGTGTATAAACTCACAGGGAAATCACATTCCCCCTTGACCCATTGACTACTGCGACACTAACCCCTTTGCCAGCATCCCAGCATCCCAGCCTCAGTTGACAGCAGGGTGGGATCTTACAGGACTAGAGAAGTTGGCGTCTCTGAGTTGAGGTTTTCTCCTAAGTCTGCTGCATCTACATTTAAAAATAACTTCTTTTTTCTTTCTTTAAAATAACACATAGCCATGTTACAAATAATAATATAAAAATGAAGAAAGTTTTTAAAATTATTCCTAATTTTGCCATCAAGAAATAAACACTGATACACCACAAACATGCCTGCACATAGCCTTTCAGTCTTTTTTTTTTTTTTTTAATCTTTTTAAATAGCTCTCTGAGAGTCTCAGAAAATAAAGGCACTGAGGCTGGATAGCATAAGCCTGGTCAGCCTCACAGGGACCTGAGAGTTGTATTGGCCACAGGAGATCCTCCCTGCTCATGGTCTTTTATTTTTTTTTCCTCCCTTTCCATCTGAAAGATGTTCGAAAAATTCTGTGTTCATTTGCACATTTAAAAATTGATATCTTTTTTTTTCTTTTGTAAGTATAAATATTTTTAAGGAATATGACTTCTGCATGGTGTGCATATTGCCATTTAAGAATAGAACTCTTCGATTGTTCCTTCAGCTATATCCAAAGGACTTTAAATGCTATAATGATTTCATGCCCACCACAACTAAACGAACAACCTTTTCTTGAATGTTCAGAATGGCTGCATCTTTCCTTTTACTCCTTGAGGTCATATTTTCAGTCCAATTCCTTCACAAATGTGATTCCTAACATTACATCTTTTTATTGTAAAGTCTCTTAAAATCACTTATATACATAATAACATATGTATCATTTATAAATAAAATATATATAACACACACATATATATAAAATTTTAGAATTTTGTTTCATTTCCTGTTGTTAAAAGGCTCTAGATATTGAAAATACTCTGAAAAGAGTTATCATTGTATCTATTATTGATATATTTAATCAAAAACTATAAAAATGAACTGAGTTGCTAAAAATAATATGTACACATTTTGAAAAACAAATTTTAACTATATGACACAATTCTTATTGGATGTCTTTTTAGTGGTATTAAGAATGTTCACACTTTTGCTTTATATTTAATGAAAGAAAAATGTGTATGTATATATATATACACATTTTATATTGTGTGTGTGTGTGTGTGTATATATATATATATATATATATACTATTTACATATATACAATATATATATGTGTGTGTGTGTGTGTAGCTAAAAATTAGTTGTTATGGCAGCCAGTATGTTACTTTAGACTTTATTTATATGACATATAAATTATTAAAGATTTTATGGAATAACTTAAAAGAGCATAAATTGTAGCTGAAATAAGTATTTCTAGATACGACTTGATAACTATCTTACTGAATTACAAATACTAAATTGGAAAGAAATCACATAAAAGTTTTATCCATGGGTTTTGACCATCATCCTGCAGAAATTTTGGGCTCTGTAAACTATTCCAAGTCACATTTAAAAGAATGACTCTCACTAAGTTTTCTGCCTTGCCTGTTTGAGATACTTTTTTTCCTGGCTAATGATACATCTGAAAGATATTAAGAATAATATAAAGGAATCATTTACATTTAAATACATGATAAAGGATTGTTTGGTATTCGGTATTCCCTACTGATGCTGTCTTTGCTTAACTCTTTCTGGACTCTCACTCAAGAAGCATTCATTCTTTGATAATTGTTGGCAAATGAAGAGGTGAAGTCATTACAAATGGTCCCTGTTTCTGTCTCTACCCTGCACTCTACATCTGAAATTGGAACATCCCAACAAGACCCAAGGTGCTGCATTTTTATCAGTAAGCTTCATCTTCAGCAGAAATGTGTATTTATTCAGGGAAATACAGGAAACCCTTCAGGGTTTATAGAACTTGGATAGTGTAAAAGGGGGACTCCTGTTTGCTACATGAG